CATTGTACAGAGTGAAATAAGCCAGTCACACAAAGACAAATACTGCATGATTCCACTTACATAAGGTATCTAAAGTAGTCAGACTCTTAGAAACAGAAGGTAGAAGGGTGGCTGCCAGGGGCTGGAGGGAGGGGGGGAATGGGGAGTTCTTTGTTGCTCAATGGGTGTAGAGTTTCAATTTTATAAGACAAAGAAGTTCTAGAGATCTGCTGTACAATGTGCGGATAGTTAACACTTCTGAATTGTACAATTAAAAATGGCTAAGATGATAAATTTTATGTTACCTGTTTTTGACCACAATAAAAAAATAATAATGACAACAATGAAGATGACATTAGCAATAGTTTCTGTAACTAATGTGTTCTAAACACATTAATGTGTCCCAGACACGGGGCCACATGCTGAAAGATCACATTCGATCCTTTCAAAGCCCCATGAAGGGGGCACTGTGATACCCATTTTATCCAAGAGTAAAGTGAGGCTCAGTAAGGTCCCCGGCCACACTCTCAGCTAGGCCCACAGCAGTGATTGAGCGCCAGCACCTGACTGCAGAGCAGGCTCAATTCCTCTGCAATGTTCCACCTGGCTGGAAAGACGGCATTGCCACGAATCCAGGAAGGAGACGCACATCTTACATTGCCAAGCAACTTTGTCTGGACAGAGAGGGAAATCCGGCTGGTTTTTTACTATTCCTACAGGTGAGCTGCTCTTCCTCAGTTCATCCAATCAAGGCTAGTCCTGACACTTCCAAAATAGATTCCATTTGGACCCTCTGAGTACTTTTCAGTCATCATTTCTGCTATTGTGTGCATTTATTTCATTGCATTTGGGGGTAAACTTTTATTGATGTTACAGGTCTGTCTCATGTTATAAGCGGAGAGCTCACTGATTTTACAAACTGATGGCACCCACAGATTCAGCACCCAGAACAAGAAACAGAACACAGCCAGGACCCCGGCAGCTCTCCTCATACCCCTCTAGTAACTTACACTGTCTAATATCACAGATTGATTTTGTCAAAAGCATTTGTTTTTAAAATTATGTGCAGTTAGCTCTCAGGTTGGGATTTTGTAATCGACAGAGTAAAATACAGAGATATGGTCAGAATAGAATAGTAACAGAGCAGGGGCTTGCGTCTAGACAGATCTGAACTTCAATCCCAGCTCTACTACTGCCTTCCTGTGTGCCTTTGTGAGAATGACTTAACGTCTTTAAAGCTTACCTCTCTCATCAGAAAAAGAGGATGTAATAGACCTTTGTAGGAATAAATGAAACGCTGTATGTAAACCTAGCATGGTGCCCGGCACAGAGTTAATACTCTCTGGAGCAGGTGTTGGAAAACTATGGCTTCCTGCATTATAAATAAAGTTTTATTGGAATGGAGATATGCCCATTCATTTACATATTGTCTATGGCTGCTTTTGCACAATAAGGGCAGATCTGAATAGGTGCAGCAGAGAGTGCATGCCTTGCAAAGTTAACATTTTTCACTATCCGTCCCTTTACAAAGAAAGTGTGTCAATTCCTGCTCTAGAAGGCAGGCCAGGTTCACTGTTGTATTCAGCAGGACTAGAACACTCCAGCACATAGTAGGTACTCATGCAGTGGCTTTTGATCTGCATGATGTGAGACAAATATGTTATCTACTTCTTTGAGTCATTGTCAGCAGAGTTTTCTTCATTTTGTAGTTGAACGTACTCCTAAACAATATTGTAAGGAAGGAGTGAAATCATAAAGATCGAGCCTGATAAAAACTTTAAAGAAGTCAGCCCTGCAGGTACCTAGGTTTATAAATCCCAGCAAAAGAGAAGCATCCGTGGTTTAGCAGAAATGACAATGAACTTGGAGAAGAACCGTTAGAATCCTAGCTCTGACATTAGCTAATTGGTAGATCCAAATATTCTCAGAATCTTAACGTCCTCAATTATCAAGTGCAAAACCACCACTACTGATTTCTGGTTTAGAAAGGCAGCTCCAGCTGGATTGGAATAGGACAAGACCAGAGTCGTGAAAGCTGTTAGGAGCTTAAAGGAATTCAAGCAGGCCCTTATCAAGGTTATTAGAAATAATGAGATGGCAAATTTTCAGGTGTTTTGAGAATCATTATTTTAACATAAAATAAGCCTATTGAAATAATGTTCCACAGAACTTGCTACACTGTAATTGTTTCCTGGACTCTCTGACCAAGCTGTGCACTCCTAATGAATGGAAACCATGACTACTTCTTGCTGTCTGTCACTTTATCTCATGTTTCATGTGAAGTGTGATCCCGACACAGTGCAGGCATAAAGCAATTGATAGATGAATAAATGAATATGGAATTAGATCTGGCAGTTCTGTGGTCATATGCCACACCAGAAAAAGGACGGGGAGTTATGGAAGCTCAGGTTTAAAGTACAAACTAGAAAATGATGGAGTGTTTGGAGGTGAGAATGAGTCAAGAAAACGCAACTTGTTCTCCTTTTTAGGTGCATGGCAGACCCACTCATTCACCACCTTCTCTGGGCAAGGTTCCACTGACTCCCCTCCTGCCCGCTTCTTCCCTGAAATGCTCTCTTCCCCAGCTCTGGGGCTTTTCCCTCCTTCCTATCTGTACCTCCTGGGAGGGCTCTTTCCTTCTATGTATTCCACCTTTGGCCCTTTCTCTTCACACTGTGCTCTCATCCAGTTTCAGAGCTTCGACTGGCATTTAAAATAATCACAGAATTCCTGAATCCAAATTTCCACTCAGATATCTTTCCTGCGTTCAGGAAATATACCTCCTGGTCTTGCCCACTAGACATCTCCACTGATGCCCCCGACTCCTCATGTCCACAATGGGAGTCGTCATCTTCACCCCTGGATATGGTCTTCCCCAGGGACGTGCCCTACTGCCCACCAAGATGGCAAAGCTGGAAAACTGAGCCACTCTGAGCCCGCTCTCCCTCCCAAATCCATCCATTCAATCGCATCCCCTCCCACTGTTTCCAAAATCTCTGACTCCATCCACCTCACTCCAACCCACCACCCTCCCTTAGCTCTGGCCAGCGTGGTCTCCTGCCGGAATCACTCCAAGCACCTGACTCCAGTCTTGTCCTGTTCCAACCCAGCTACAGTTGTCTTTCTAAACCAGAATCCAGATCATATCACATTCTCTTCAAAATGCATTAACAGCTTCCCAAACACATTAGCTTGGTACAGAACCGTGCTGTCCAATACAGCAACCCCTAGCTATGTGTGACAATTGAGCACTTGAAACACGGCTGGTCTGAACTGAGAGGTGCTGAAGTGTCAAATACACACCAGATTTGAAGACTGAACATGACAAAAAAGACTTAGCATGAAAATATTCATAGTCGTTTAGACTGTGTGTTCAAATGATAATGTTTCTGGATATAGAAGGTCAAATAAAACATTTTAAAGTTAATTTCACCTGGATGTTTTGTTTTTTAACTTTTTTTCTTTTTTTACAATAGGGTCTCTCTCTGTTGTCAGGTAGTAGTGCAGTACATCATATTTCAACCTCAAACTCCTGGGCTCAAACAATCCTCCTCCCTCAGCCTCCTGAGAAGCTGGGACTACAGGTGTGTGCCACCATGTCTGGCTAAGTTTTGTACCTTTTGTAGAGATGGGGTCTTACTATGTTGCTCAGGCTGGTCTTGAACTGGCCTCAAATGATCGGCCTCCTAAAGTGTTGGGATTATAGGCATGAGCCACTGCATCTGGCCTTTAAAATTTTTTAACGTAACTGTTAGGAAAGTTAAAATTATATCTGTGCCTCATATTTTATTTCTACTGGACGGCAATGGTGCAGAAAGCCCTTCACCACTGGCTCCCTGCAGGCCTGGCACCCTTCCAACCTCTCACCGCCTTCGCCCCTGCCCCCTAGCTCTGGGCTTCTCTGCAGGTTCCTGAATAGCCCACTTGCTTTCTGGTTTTTGTACATGGGGTACTCCCTCTCCCCAGAACATTCTATTAGGTCAACTCCTGCTGGTCTCCCAGGACTCAGGTTTGCAATACCTGGGAAAGATTTCCTGAACACAAGTGTCATTTGTTGTCCCCAATGCCCAAGAGCCCCTGGCACCCATCACGTGTCCCATATTGGCCTCTGACTCAAGCCTGACTCCCTACCTGGATTATAAATTCCCTGCATTTTACTTATTATTGGATCTACAGTGCAGGGACTAGCAGACGTTCCAGGTACTTGGTCTGTACAGAATCTAAGAATACAAATACAGCCAATGAACTTAGAGCCTAAAAAGGTGACTAATAAAAAGTAGATTCAGACATAGCCTTAAAGTGCCATCAATCAAAAGAGATAAAGATATCAGGAAGCTATGTTCTAAATTTTGGGTTCAAATCAGTGAAACCATTTTTAAAAGAATAATCTGACATATTTAGCAACTTTAAAATGGTTGGACCCACTGATTGGGCAACTCCGTGCCTTTGGATTTGAACTACTGAAACACTTGGCCACGAGCGCAAACACAAACGTACTGCTAAGTTCACTACAGCAACATTTGTAGTGGTAAAAAACGGAACAAAAGCAAAGCATTCCATCAGCAACAGAGGCTGTAAATTACACATATCCCTTCAGAGGAATAACATCTAGCTGAGAAAAAGAAGGAAATGGACTCTCTGTGCCAAGAAGGAGATTTCTCTTGCAGGGGAGGGAAAGTACAGTGCTGCAGATTGCTTCCTCACCTTTGTGTATTTCAAAGTTATGTGTTTGTGTATGTGTTTACACAGACTCTTATCAGAAATATACCCGAGAATGTGTGTACTCACAAGGTAACGGTGGTCGGTGGGGGAAAGGGGGCTGTCTTCACTGCATACTCTCTTTGAACTTGCTAATCATATACACGAATTACTTTTATCATAAAAAATACTAATGAGGACTTTCTGGGTGTTTTTTCCTCTATTTATTTCTGTATGGCCAAGGAAAAGTACCGATTATCTCTCCCGCCCCCCGACAAGATGAACAGACAGTAAAACAGCAACATTAATTTGACGTCACCTACCGTGATCTTCTTGTGGTCGGGAAACTCAAGGCCAAAATAGTCGCCTTCCACAAGATTGAGGTGGCTGCAGACTGCATCCAGCAGCACCTTGCCAGGAGCTCTTTGCTGTGAACAGAAACAGCAGGGGTTATGCCCTCTGATACAGACAGGACAGAAACAAATCACGGCTCCTCTCCGCAGGACACCTCTGCGTTCCCCAGCGTGCTGGTCCTTCACAGCTCGGCATGACCCGCCTCCTCCACACCCGGAACACCGGCCCCACCCACACCTCTGCACCTGCTGTCCCCATACTTAGATGCGAATCTCTGCATTTCCTCCCCACCCCAATCCCAGGCACTACTCCCCCTCCTTCTTCAATTAATGGACTATTTTTAAGTTTTCAAAAAATTAAGCAAAAAACAGAGTTCCCATATACCTCTCCACAGCACACACACCGGGTACCCTATTAATAACATCCTTAGCAGTGCAGCACATTTGTTATAATTGTTGAGCCAGTATTGATACACTATTCTCACTCAAACCCCATCATTTATATTAGAGTTCACTCACGTGCTGTAAAGTTCTTATGGGTGTTGACAAATGGATAATGACATGTCTCTACCATGACAGTATCACAAGGAAGAGTTTCACTGCTCCACCTATTCATCCCTCCCTTCCTCCCTCCCTCCTGATCCTTGGTAACCACTGATGTTCTTACTGTCTCTACAGTTTGCCTTTTCCAGAATGTCCCATAGGTGGAATCATACAGTGTGTAGCCTTTTCAGACTGGCTTCTTTCACTCAATGTGCATTTAAGGGTCCTCCACGTCTTTTCATGGCTTGAAAGCTCACTTCTTTTTACTGCTGAACAATATTCCAATGTCTGGATGTGCCACGGTTTGTCTATACTTTAACCTACTGAAGGATACCTCGGTTGCGTTCAAGTTTTGGCAATTACGAATATAGCTGCTATAAATACTTGTGTGCAGGTTGTGTGTGGACATAAGTTTTCAACTCAGGACTCCATCCTTTATGTGACAGTCAAACCTTGTCCCTATGCCTGTCTCCTCCTCCACAACTATGGCAGCATTGACGGCTTTCTTCTCCAGGTTCTTGTAGCACTTGGCGCAGACTCTCATTGAGACAATACCCACGCTGAAGGTAAACGCCATATTCTATTCATCCCTGTATCCACCATGCCTGAAGACCAACCAATTTTGTTGAAATGAATGAATGAACAAGACAATAAAAGTTACCCATTCCACTGTGTTATATGCAGTTTGCTACCTCTAAGTCTGTGTCCACAATTAATTTCAGGCCACCTATTCATCTTTATATTCCTATTCCCTAGCAAAGCACCTGTCACTCAATCGATGTCTGCTGAAATCAATACCATTCATGTATTTTCTTTTTGTTTTCTTTTCTTTTAATTTAGAGACGGGGTCTCAGTCTGTCACTCCAGGCTGAAGTGTAGCAGCCTGATCACACCTTACTCCAGCCTCGATCTCCTCAGCTCAAGCGATCCTCCTGCTTCAGTCTCCCGAGCAGCTGGGACTACAGGCATGTGCCACCATGCCTGTAGAGATGGGGTCTCACTATATTGCTCAGGCTGGTCTCAAACTGCTGGCCTCAAGTGATTCTCCTGCCTTAGCCTCCCAAAGTGCTAGAATTACAGGCGTGCACCCAGCTACCGTTCATGTATTTTCTATATATCAAATCTAGAGGGAAAGGAAATATTATATATAAGAACTCAATTTCTACACTAAAGAGTTTAGAATCATATGCCTCATTTTCTCTTCATTATCCAGTAGACTCCTAATGACCCACTAGTAAAATGGGTCAACAGAGTTCCATCGTATAGATTAAACTCTGGAAGAAGAATGTTTCCAAGACATCGCTGAAAGGACAGCATTGGTAAGAAACTATCTAACAGAGGGGAAAAAGGGAGAAAACTCACAGCATATAATTGCCCCTTTGAAGAGAAAGATCATGGCACACAACTGCCCCGTTTGTTTGATTAACCAACCACCTGTGTGCAAGCATCCTCCAGCAGGGATGAAGTAGGGGACAATGAGCTGCTCCACGCCAGTCACCGGTCCCGGGTTCAAGTTCTCACAGCAGCTGCCAAAGAGCTGCATGGTTAACTTACATGACTTATCCTGCGCCCTCCTCTCCCTCCCGTAAAATCTCTAGACATGAATTAGAACGTTATAAAAATGAGCCAGGGGAGAAGAACTTGTGGAAGAATTCCCATACTGTTAAGATTTTCTTTTCTTTTTTTTTTTTTAAGGGAAGACCATATTCCAATTTCACAATCTTCTTTCTCACAACTCTCAATACTTCCTATTTCTGACAAAAATAAACCACTAATTATCTGCCCAGCTGGCAAGCACTCACATTTCCCAAAGAATTCCTGGAACTGAGAGAATTTGATAACTTCATCTAGATTTACAGAGTCTGAGAAATGAGACGTAACAATTCAACACTGGAAATCTAAACAAGTTTTAAGAAGTCAATATACAACGGATGTCTTTATGCACATTGTGTTAAACTAAGCACTTTATAAGAAGGAGAGGGAGAGTTAACATCTGGGTCCTTTACAAAGTCAGAGAGGTTTCTGTGAACATGTTGAGCACATCTTGGTAATAACAGGAGGCTGAGCTGAGTCCTAGAACCCGCAGCCTCACCTCGGCATTTCAAATACTACTTGGGCTCTGTCAGAGACAAGTGCAGCAAACGACTGATTAACTCCTTGCAGAATGATGGGTTTGCAATAGATGCTTGGGATCTAGCTAATGACAAACCTGGTCTCGATCCTTTAAAATTTCCTTAAAATTTATTATTTTGTACAAATGGTTATAGAAAATGACTTATCTATGGTATCAAAATTTTTTATAGGGGGATATCAACACGGAGTTTGAATGATATCTTTATAGCTCCTAAAATTCACCTATAAAATAGATGCCTATAAAGCATTATATGAATTCCCCTGTGAATGCTGGCTACATTCAGGGATGTAAGGAAACCCAGTATACAGCATCACTAGAATTTATGAGGGCTTAAATGCACCCACCACACGACAATTTCATGGGTAAATGGCACCATAATGGGCTCCGTGGACTCAGTGTTAATGCCCCAATGTGTACCAGGCAGCTAAAGCCTAAACCGTTTCCAGACATAATGATACCATGATATGTTCAGGAATTCCATTTCCCTTGCTTTTTAGGAACTGGTATAGAACTATTTTGCTGTGTCAATGCACCCAGGGCTAAATTCTGCTTCAGAGGAAGCACCTCAGAGAAGGGAGGTAGGAAAAGCATTTGTTCCTCATTCTTCAAGAAAATTATTATCCCTTTTCTTCCTATAGTAGATTTACTCCATCGGCCTGCAGTATTTCTCTGTACTTGTTGCCAATGAGTTTTTCAACTTCACTCTGAAAGTAATTCTGTTGCAAATCACATCCCAGAAGGTTGTTTTTTTTTTGAGACAGTGTCTTGCTCTGTTGCCGAGGTTAGAGTACCCTGGTGTCGGCCTAGCTCACAGCAACCTCAAACTCCTGGGCTCAAGCAATCCTTCTGCCTCAGCCTCCCGAGTAGCTGGGACTATAGGTATGTGCCACCATGCGCGGCTAATTTTTTCTGTTTTTAGTAGAGACAGGGTCTCGCTCTTACTCAGGCTGGTCTCAAACTTCTGACCTCAAGCGATCCTCCCGACTCCGCCTCCCAGAGTGCTAGGATTACAGGCGTGGGCCACCGCGCTAGGCCCACATCCCAGAAAGTGAAATGGTGCAGCTAACATGGAAAACAGTATGTAGTTACTCAAAAAATGAAAAATAGACTCATTGTATGATCCAGCAATTCTGCTTCTGGGTACAGACCAAAAGAACTGAAAGCAGGGTCTGGAGGAGATACTTGTGCACCGACGTGCACTACAGCACTATTCACAGTCGCCAAAAGCTAGAAGCAACCCAAGTGCCCATCAAAAGATGAATGGGGAAACAAAACATGGTGCATATACATATGATGGAATATTACTCAGCTTTACAAAGGAAGGTAAAATCCAGCCACAGGCCACATTGTGGATGAATCTTGAGGAGACTATGCTAAGTGAAGTAAGCCATTCACAAAAGGACAAATACTGCATGAGTCCACTTAAATGAGGTACCTAGAATAGGTAAATTCATAGAGACAGAAGGCAGAATGGGGGTTGTCAGGGCCTGGGGGTAGGGGGAATGGGGTGTTAGAGACTAATGGGGACAGAGTTTCAGTTCTGCAAGATAAAGAGTTCTGGAGACAGATGGTGGTGATGGTTACACAAGAATGTGAACGTACTGAATGGCACAAGTAAAAATGGTTAAAATGGTAAATTTTGTTATGTATATTTTACTATTTAAACAGTGCAGAAAAAAGGGGGGAAGTAACCGAGGAATGGGGCTCACATCTATAAACAACTGAGGGTTACTCGCAATACACTCTGTAACACTACTTTTAAGAACAAGAAAATAAAGAACCCATGTTCCTTACATTAGATTTTAGAAAAATATTGGGGGGGTAGGACCTTATCGCATGGAGGGAATGAGTGAATATCCATGTGTATGCACTAAATATTTGCTAATATTTCTCAGCACGAAGAGCTCTTTCATACGTATGGCAAAAAAAATGGGTAACATGAACATCTTTGGAAGTAACTGCAAATTATGCATTTGGGATAGGCTTTGCACTGGAAGACGATAACAGGATTCAAAAGCTATCATACAAATCTACTAGCCCTTTATTGCTTTAAGAAAAAGAATCCAAAGCTGTAAACAAGTCAATAAAGTCTGAGCGGGGGGAAAAGGTGGCAACAGCATAGACTAAGCTGGCAGAACACAGAGAGGAGACCTGGAGGAAAATTCATCCGTGAAAGTATTTTCTCAAAGAGTACCTTACTGTAACACACACACACACACACACACACACACACACACACACACACACGGCTGCACGAACTATCACGCATGAGGAAGGAAAACCAAGTCATCTAGGCATCATTTCAAAACCCTTATATGTTAGTAATGGTTTAATATGAAAAGGATCTGATGAAAATGAACATTTTTTTCAAATGTTCCCAAGTGACTCTGTTGGGGGC